TCTTCAATACGTGGTGCTGGGAAAATTGGATATCCATATGCAGAAGAATGAAACTAGACACGCATCTCTCACCATACAGTAAAATCAACTCAAAATGGGTTAAGACTTAAGTATAAGACCTGAGACTGTAAAACTACTGAGGGAAAATTTAGGGGAAACACTTCAGGAACTATGTCTGGGCACAGACTTTATGAACAACAGCCCCAAATCACAAGCACCAAAAGAAAAAATAAACAAACAGATCAAACTAAAAAGCTTCTGTACAGCAAAGGAAACAATCAACAGAGTGAAACAACAACTACAGAATGGAAGAAAATTTTTGCAAGCTATGCATCTGACAAGGGATTAATATCCAGAATATACAATGAACTCAAGGAATTACAAAGTAAAAAACCAAATAACCCAATTAAAAAATGGGCAAAGAAGCTGAATAGACATTTTTCGAAGGAAGACATACAAATGGCCAACAGGTACATGAAAAAATTCTCAACATCACTAATCATCAGGGAAATGCAAATTAAAAGCACAATGAGATATCACCTGACCCCAGTTAGACTGGCTATAATCAAAAAGACTGAGAAATAACAAATGCTGGCGAGGATGTAGAGAGAAGGGAATGCTCCTACACTGTTGGTGTGACTGTAAATTAGTACAAGCACAATGGAAAACAGTATGGAGGTTTTTCAAACAACTACAGATAGATCTACCACACGATCCAGCAATTCCACCTCTGTGTATATACCCAAAGGAATATCATGTCGAAGGGATAACTGCACTCCTATGTTCACTGCAGCTCTGTTTACAATAGCCAAGATATGGAACCAACCTAAATGTCCATCGACGGATGAGTGGATAAGGAAAATGTGGTACATATACACCACGGAATACTACTCTGCCATAAAAAAGAATGAAATTCAGCCATTTGTAACAACATGGATGAGCTTGGAGAAAATTATGTTGAGTGAAATAAGCAAAGCACAGAGGGAAAAATACCACGTCCTCACTCATAAGTAGGAGCTAAGAGAGAAAGAAGGAAGGAAAAAAAGACCACAGTGGTACATTGGACTTGCAGAGGGAGAGAGCATACCCAGGGATACAAAGTGGAATGGAGAAAAGGGAATGGGGAGGGAAGCCGGGGATAGTTGGGTGGGGCACACGGGGTATAATTGCAATTTGTGGTAATGGGTGTGCTGCCAGTATTGTTCTGCCCATCACATCTTGGGCTCAAGTGGTGACGGTCAGCATTGTACCCCACGAATATTCATAACCAATAAAAAAACCACATCTTTAAATAATCAATGATACAAAAATTTGCCTCAAACATATTTTTTAAGAGTCAGTATATACTTGTACAGATATTCTCCTCCCCCAAAATGCTGATTTCATTTTACATTTCCCAGTAAAATCTGAGTTTAAGTCCTGTGGAATATACTAAAAAGCATACGTACTTCACAGGGCCTGGTTTTCCAAAGCCTTGCAGTTTCAAATATTGACCTTGCAGAGGACTGGAAATTTCCCTCAGGCTATAAGTCTCTGTTGCAAGATAAGGATTGTGGCACAGCGGGTTGCTGGCTCAAAGACAGACTAGTTACTGATTGTTATGTAAAGATACTGAGAAATTGCTATAGGAAGGAATGTTTGCTAAGATCAAACTGTTGTTGACAGGACCACTTAATTGCCTTACTGGAATGTCATCTGGATTGTTTCACT